TTGGGGTTATACTGGGATAATGGACAAGAAAATGGAAACTACTATAGTATATTGGGGTTATATAGGGATATTGGAGAAGAAAATGGAAGCTACACCATATAGGGAGCATGATCAAACTGATGAATTTCAGCCTGCTACTGTTGGACATTCAGGCTCTTGCCGGCTCTTGCCTGGGAGAATGAAATAGACGCAAACCCAACTGTACATTTAATTGTCCATTGTCTCTTCCATTTGATTTGCCATTATTGGGGAATAATTTCCCTAAATCCTAAACCCTAAACTTTAAAATTTAAATAGCAGCTTCAATTTCATTATCAATTTTCTTGTGTATTTGATTTGCATCATTACTATATGAATAACAATATCCCTAAGCCTTCTGAACCAGCCTCAGTAATTCTACATGAGCTACTGTCTGAACTCCTAGTATTCCCCGTAATAACCCTATAGTAGTCCCCCTTTATAATCCCCTTTCTAAAACCCCTTCTAAGGAGTTTAGACCATAGCTCACATTGGCTCTCTTGCGAAAGTCATGTTACCATGTCGTATTTCAAGGTCAAAACCCATAACCCTGAGCTCCGAACGCTGGAGCTCACTTGAACATACCAATTCCTGAACTCAACGGGAATAATGCAGACCCATGATTTCCCCTCTTTTTAAGGGCCTTCATAGTAGGATCCGTATTACAATCTTCATTAAGTGGAGAGGGTTTATCAATTAGGGGTCTACATTAGCAAGATCTCCTGCTTCCACCAGCTGCGGGAATCCTCGTAGGAAAAGCCACAGTCCTAGCTGAAGCAGTGCTGTTGACGGTCACATCAGGACTTCTTCTCAAACCACGGTGCACATGTGGAGGTTTCTCAAGGTTGCGGGTCCTGTTTTGTAGAATCTAGCACAGTAAGTATAGAGCCAAATATTTTTATGTATGAAGACGTTTTTCATACAGTATGTCCCAGAAAGAAACTGACGTCTGCACCTGCGGGTTGTCATGGCTATTGCTACGCAGTCTTCGCAGTCTTGGAATGCGCTCGCTGACGGCGAGCTTCCAGCGACCTTTAGACTCCATCTCAAAAACCCATGCCTTGCCATACCGGCTGCGGACATAAGCCAAATCCAAACATCAAACGATGCTGCGCGTAGGTGAATGGATAAGATGTCAAAGGCTGTAGCTTCAAGAAGAGTACCCTGCCATGGCAAGATTTTCGCAAAAGCCAACACATGCACATGCATTGCCATCCACAGTTTCTGGGTTCCTTGAAAGGTGAATGCGCGCCGATGATTCCCTAAACCCTAAACCCTTGTTGTCGCTTGTGCCAGTTTCCGCAGCTTCCATGGGCAATGCAACCGCGTTGTCGCTCAAAATCAGGCTACACCAAATCCTAGCGTGGTCCTAGCACGTGCAATCACAATCCTTGGACAAGTCAGTGGTTTTGGACCCCACAAATGCTCTTGGTAAAAAATTGGGGATCTACACGGGCAAAAGTTTCGCACAACCATCGAAAAGAGCTCATGACCTAAAAACAACTCGCCATCTTCTTTGGATCCAAAACCCTTTAAACTCTTACATACGCTGCAGGGTCCATGTCAAAAGCTACTTGTACCTGTCCTTCAGGAAGGGACGCAGCTGCAACCTGATTCCATCATGTGGGGATTGCTCTGAGTATAGGGTTATAGGCCCCCTTAAGTAGATAGAATATGGCTTTGGGTATATTATACTAAAATCCCCGTATACTCCATATTCTATCTACTTCACGGGGACTATAGGGTTAAGTCGTGTTTATCTAGTTGAGGAGGCAAAGATTTGGATCTTAAGCATATGTAAGGTGTTAAGCTGATGAGGGTACGAGCTCCAGACCTCCCCCTCAAAGGATCACGCCACAACACTCTTTCTGAGAAAACTTCCGGGTGCAAACTAGAAAAAACTGCGACATCGTGGGCTTAAAAACGAAAAGCCCGAACAAGGATGCCCCAAGCATGGGTGCTCCTTTTCTATAACCCTCCCGGTCTTGCATTTTCTGACGCATAGTCTGCGAAGGTTTGCGCATCTCGTTGAAGAAATCTGGGAATCTAAGCCCTGAACCCTAAAACCCTAAACCCTGAGCCCAAAACCATGAACCTAGCCCTAAGCCCTGAACCCTACGCCCTAAACCCATTTAAGGTTCTGACTCAGATCTTTGTGGGGCTCGTAACTTCCCCCTCGTTTTGACGCACACCCAGGCCAGCCAAGGCCTTCTACAACACCCTACGGTTCCTACACACTACTGGGCATTAGTGGTTTAGGGGTTTGGGGACTTAAGGGAATATAATCCCCATATAATCAGTATATACCATATTCCCTTATTCCCTACCGCAGAATGATCCCTACATAATCATACATAATCCCTAGATTTCCTTTTTCCCTACTAACTGGCTTCCTATCTAAGACCCAACCCTTGGATGATAACATTGACCCCTAAACCCTAAACCCTAAACCCTCTGAGGTCACTGCCTCCCTGCATGCTTGAGATGCTTCTTCGTCTCGCGCCTTGATACCCAACAGCGCTCAAGGGTGTGGGCTTCGCCGGCTTCAAGCTGCAGCAAATGGGATACTTTAGGTAGACTCCCCACCCAGTAATAGTGACTATAATTGATAATAAGGATGATATTCGGGTCCTCTTATATTCCTATTATACCACTATTACAGGGTGGGGGGTCCTCCTAAGGGATACTGTAGAATAAGGGAATATAGGGATTATATAGGGATCATTCTGCGGTAGTAGGGTATAAGGGAATATGTTAAAAGCTAGTTATATAGGGATTCCTAAGTGATTCTCAATCATAATGAGCCAAATATGAAAAATAAAATGGGATGGAAACTTAGTCGCTACATTCAAGGAGCACAACTTGCGATTTGTCAGGAATGGGTAGGTGGAGACACTCAAGCGCATTGCCTGTAAATCTTCCCTCTTACTCAGTTTAACTTCTCGGGCGGCATCGGGCGGCATGCACGACATGGTAGTTTCCCAAAATAAAGCGGCCCCAATGTAGACCCCAATATATTATCATCCTTATTTGGGGAGCCCCAAAAAGGTAGCCCTCAGTGTGGGAAACCCCCACAATGAATGAACACCGTGAAAGGGGGAATGTGCGCTGGCCCTACAATCACACTGTTGCCCATGCATCTTAACCATAAAGGGTAAGGTACTCAGAAAGCGACGCTCCAAACCCCTCATTCTGAGCCCTTCATGCTACCCTAAGCACCTAACGCTCTGGGTTGGCCCCTAAAACCCTTTGAAAAATATTAGTAAGGGTCCCTTATTAAAGCCATTCGGGAAAACATTAAATATCCCAGGGGCCTACCCAGCGTTGGATCGTTTTGTAGCTGAGCTGCTGCTTTTCCACCAGGCGGCGCATGCAAGGCGGCAGTGAACCTGGAGTGCAGGAAGTCCCCACGCTTAGCGTTTGGGTCCAGCCTCATCTCTTTAGCATTCCAAGCATTCTATCTATATGGTGGCCGATGTGCATCATCAGGACTCATGTAAGAGATTTTCCTCATAGCGTTTATCTGTGCATGTATTCTATGCCCTGCCATGTGTGGTACATCCTAAGTATTGGTGAAAATTCAAATTTCTCCCCTCAGCACTGAGGCCAGTTTCAGGCGTTAAGACCTTCTACGCCAGAGTTTTCGGCCAACAGGCCCCAAGACGCCAGCAAAGCTAAAGTAAACCCCAAACTCTAGAACCAAGCCCCAAAGCCCTCAGCAGCCGGCGAGTGAGCAGCCCTTCGAAGTTTTGAAGGGACAGCTTCTCGCCCTGGTCCTGCAATCTGCAATGCTACTTTCATTGACAAAATCCAGCATGAGTGGAACAGCGCTGGCCGACATGCAGGTTTCGCTGTCCGAGATGCAAAGAGACTGTTCGAGATGCAAAATTTTTGCATCTCGGGCCGCCACCCCTGAATGTCGGCCCGCCGAATTTCACCGGTTCGGCCCCCGAACGCTCAGCTCCACGCGAGAGCACGATTTTATAGGCGAGAATGCCAGGACGCTCCACGCGAGAGCGCGATTTTAGGCGAGAATGTGAGGACGCTCCACACGAGAGCGCGATTTCGGGCGAGAAT